CCCGATCCTACAGCGTTCCCCAAGGAGAGCTGCAGGCCCTTGGTACCGCTCCTGTCCCCGTATGCCCTCACGACCTCAGAAAAACACTCGGAGTATTGTGGGTTTCTGAAGGCAGCACCATACATAACGTCATTTTTGTAGGAGGGGAGGGGTGAGCATGATGAAGCTTTTGCTAATCAGGAAAACAGAAATTTGAGGGAGCTGGGAAAGCAGCGTCTGCTGTAGCTTGTCCGGAACTGAAAAATGCCAGTTGTGTTGCTGGTGTTAAAAAGCTGTTTGAAGTGGGCTAGAAACACACATCGCATGCGCAGCAGCTGTTCTCCTGTTTGTTTTCCCAAATACTATGCAGCTTTTTAAAAATAAGCAGCATTCAGTGGGGAGCTTCCTTAGATGAAGCTAACGAGCCGGGCGCAGTAGCTGTGGGATAGCCTGTGTGGCACGCAGCTGCAGGTTGTGTAAACAGCTTTTATAGAAGAGGTGTGAAAGCCTGCCTGTACTCTTCTCCAAATCTGCTGAGCCTGGGTCGTCAGGGCTGGTGTAGGGTGTCTCCAGCCACACTCGGGATCCAGGCTCTCCTGCTGTTCACAGCATGCGGCACGGCTTCTGGAGCCCCTAATAAATTGTTCCCAGGCTTGGTTGGTCGACCTCGGTGGTGGTGGATGCCCTGGCTTCATCCCGGTTCATTCCCCTCTGCCCTCATCCCCCCTCCGCAGTGTGCAGGTAAGGAGTTTGCAGGCAGTCCATAAGCTTTCCTCCAGGTGTTTAATGGCAGGATTGAGGCCGGATTCCTCACTCCTGTGGGAAAGGGGAGGATGCTTTCACTCCAGAGAAAGAAAGGAGGCCTTTTCTGTGCATAACCCCTAGCTGCTCGGCCCAGACATAACTCTAGTTTAGGTGAGATCTGATGCAGATTGCTATCATAGCTAGCTTTTCAGCACTGCATTAAAAGCACCGTGGTTTACAGCTTCACAGCCACACTCTCCAGGAAACGTCCACAAGATGGGGCCCCTCTCCTTGATTGTCACGAAGAAGACTTTTAGGGAGTTTGGGTCTAATTACAATAATCAACACTCTGAATGGTTCCTGTCAAATCCTGCAGTAAAGGTACACCACTGTCAGAGGAAACCTGCCTTCCTAGTAACTGGGAAGCTGTAGTGAGCAAAGCTGCTGAACGTTGTCTCTGTGTGCAGCGAGGCACTGCAGCTATAAGAGCTGATAAAAGGTGGAATGTCACCTCTTCCCTAGGAGTCTGTAGTTATTCAGAGGGAGCCCTGTCTGTGGTACAACATTGTCACACCCTGCATTTTATTTCGCGCTACTGAATGTTTATCTGATTATCTCCTGTACGTGGCAAAATCAGATTGCCTTGGGGAATCATTAAAACTTGATAAGCCAGTGAGTTGGAAGAACCATGATTTGAATTGTACCCTGAGGGTATTTTGTTTATGCTTGCTCATCATGAGTAATATTTTTTTTCTCCTATAAACAAATATAAATAGAGGTGTACTGAGCTGCTTAAGGGAATTTTAACTGTGACAAACAGCATTAGTTCCAAAATGCTGAGTTAATCTCCTTGCAATTCTCTGTTATTTTAACTTGATCGGCCAAATAGTGCAAAATCACATTAAAATGACTCAGCAGACTAAAACTCAGTTGAGAGGGGACACACCTTAGGCAACCCAAATATACATCACTGAAGAAGTAGCATTCAAAAAATAGCAACTAGTAAATCTGAATTTCTGCCATCCAAGCATTGCCAGCACTCTTTAAAGGTAGGAGAAGCCTCTGCTATAGTATGGACTATTGTGGAGACCATTTCTTCCAGTTTCATGTCTGGCACTCCTGTCTATCACTTGAGGATCACAGCTCGCTGGATGAGAAAACAGGGAGTTGCCACCTTGATGACTTGCCATCGGGGAAGCAGGAAAAGGGTTGATGAGGTGTTTCTGAGCAATGGGAAGAATAAATAGAGGGATTAAGGAGAAGGCACAGAAGTGTTTCAAGCTAGAGCTGTTTTAAGTCTTGTTACTTATTTCTGTGCTGATGCTGTAGCCCCAGGCTCGCCGCTGTGGGTGGGAGAACAGCACAGATGCTGTTGTGCTATGGCCACAGTATTAGAAGTCCACAGGTTGGACTATCTGCCTGGGCCTTACCAAAATCATTTTGCTATTTGGTTTTACTTTATAGAGGGGGCTTATGTGATAGCCTAAATCTTGAAAATGGGAAGGGTAAATCAAGGCAATGGAAATACCAGATCTGGGCTGTAAATATGTCATATGTGGGCTTGATAAAATGTGACAAAGTGTCTAAAACTGTGAGACTGTGAAGTATAGCGAGTAATTTTTTGAAGAAAGGCAAGGCATGCAGCATTTTAGTCATGATGAAATTCACACTTCATAAAGCTTTGGAAGAAAAGTCAAAGGAGATGGCAATGCAGCTGATTTCTTAGGTGGAGATGAAGCCTGAGTAGTTGATATGTTAAAAGCCTTCATGTGTCTGAGCTGCGACAAGTTTGAACTGTATTTCATTTGAAGTTTCACAAATGCAAAGAGCTCATGTCAGAAGTGCAAAGAGCTGATCTAAACTGTAAATACAAACAGATTCCTAAACTAACAACCTTCTGCTCACTAAATTTGTGGTGATTGAATACATATAGGTGAAAATTAGAATTCAATTAATAAGCAACCTTTAAAATCCTAGGTTTTTGCAATTTTTATTTAAATGTATTTTAGCTGCACCAGATGAATTCTATGGGGTGTGGGGAGAAAAAAGTGTTTTCCTTATGGTCTGCTCAACATATCTATTAATCCCATCTGTGAACTGCTCTTACATACTTTTGAAAATCTGCATCCATGTCAGTTTAATTAGTATTTTTTACCAAGCATTCACTATGTTCAAAGAAAGGTTATGCTGTGAATTTTGGCATGTTTGTAGGGATAGCCTCAGCAGTACAAGATGATTTACCCCTTTCTGTGAATAATGTGTAAACATTCTTCGAGTCATTACGTTTTTAAAAAACCTATTGATGCAGCATGTTGTTTATTAAAACTTGGCAATACTGTTATTTTTGTTTAAACACAGCTTGTGCTTCAACATGTATTTTTAAACAGATTTATTTTAAAAGGAACAAGTGTTTTACTTAAATAGAAATCAGGTTTTGTCAGCTTGCTGCTCAGATGAACCACTTGTGGAGGAAAACAGTCAGCAAGCACAACGGTAGGAGCGTTGTTCTAAGTCTGGTCAGTTATACAGAGTGTTTTTGAAGTCTCATGCCTTTGCTTTGCCTGAGATTTGGAAAAGGTACTTCTGCCTCACTGTAACACTGGCAAAGCTACAGTCAGTCTAACTGGCAGGTTAAGCTCCAGCTGCATCTTTTGGGGATTATGTGGTGATTTATTGCAGAAGGTCAGGAGACCAGCTTTGTTCAAAAAAGGCACTGCTGAGAGATCTCCTTCAAGGGGGCCGGTTCTCGGTGCTAGGAACCTCTCCATGTATCACCCCAAAGTGCATTGTCCTGTGAAAAGAGCATAACTGGTGTAAAGAGGCAGGATTTGGAGTACTTTGTTTTGGTGTTCACTGTGTTTTCCTGTTTTGTTTTTGATACCACGTTACACACATTTGTAGCAGAGAAATTGAAGAGGGGAGGGAGTATTGGAAGTGTATTAAAGGTCTTATTTGGCATCTGTTTGAATTAGAAAATCTGGAAGGGGATAAATGGTTAAGATATATTCCTAACAAAAAATAGTTAAGCATTAGAGTGCATTTGATTTTTATTGCCAGCATGCTGCATTTCACTTTAGTAAGGGGACCAGCCAGGCCAAGGAATATTGTTCCAATGCATGCATTTACACGGGAAGATACACTAGCTCTTGTTAATAAGCAAACAGTGCCATTTTGATTGGTTAAGAGTGGCGGCAGGGCTAGGTTAAACGGCTTCTCAGACCAGGGTAGAAAAAAGGTTCTGTGTGTGACCACCTGCTGCTTGGTGGAGGGGGAAGAGTAGGGGGCACCAAAAGTTAGTTGGGTTTAAAAAGTTGCTACAGTGGCCTATCTCCTGTTGAAAGGAACAAGAAATTAAACTGAGTTTGAGGGAATCTTCTGAGAAGACCTCTTACATCATAAACTCTTTGGAAACCTTTCTTCACTTGAGGAGAAATGCAGTAGTTTCCAGTTTGTCCTTTAAAACGTGTACCTCCAGAGAAGTAACTTATCTGTGGTGTATGAGGATATGTTACATCCACAACACTGGCGTATGTGTCTCTATTCTTCTACTGCTCTCAGTTCAGATTACATAGTGTGTAAATCTCCGAGAATACCCTCTGTTGATTGACCTTCTTCAAGTTGATTTATCAGAACTTTTAGAGATGCCGGTTAATGATGGGTGGGTTCCCTGGGGAAGGGCTGTATGCAGCAGGGGATGCAAGGGACCAGCAAAGTGCATGTAGGCAGCAGCAGCAGCAGCCTTGGTTTCCCCATGGAGGAAGGGAAAGGGGACATGCACAATGAAAGCTCAAAGGGAAAAAGTAGTCAGAAAAGCAGCATGCTGACAGGGGGGGTCTCACAGGAGTAACAGCAAGGGATTGCCAAGTGCCAGCCTGTGAGGAGGAGCTGTAAGACCACATGAGAGGAACAGTTATGGAGCACAGTGTGTGGGGACATCGCATGGAAATGTAGTTATCACATGCTGTATTGCTCCAGGCACAAAGCTAGGAATGGTGGGCTGACGTAAACCCTTCTTCTGGCCTGACTGCACTCCTGGGTTACGCTGACTGACCTGGAATTAATGAATATTTATGGCAACCAGGGAGGGTTGGTGTCAAGAGCCTGTTTACAATAAACACCTGGAGCTTTCACTTCTAACCTTGCAGTATCCAGTGGATATTACTAGGTGTCTGGAGGGGACCGTGGGGACTGAGTGAAGTTTATGACCCGTAATCACAGCTGTACTGCAAATAAATTATATTACTGTTTTTCCTTTTTGCTTTCCTGCAGATTCCTAGATGGCTAATGAATCGAGGCCCTGCCTGTGTGATATTGGAGACAGGTTTGACTATGAGAGTCGTGGCCAGGAAGTACAAGCTGAGCACATCAAGGCGTACGTTTGCAAACCACCTGCCAGCACAGACAAAGCTGTGATTGTGATTCATGATATATTTGGATGGCAACTCCCAAACACCAGATACATGGCTGATATGCTTGCTGCTCATGGATACATGTAAGAAATCTTTTCTTCTCCAAGAAATCCCACTCTTTATGATTTCTAGCCTTCCATTAGAACTGTTATTCCCATACATGAGAGGAAACTATTACCAGGGCAGTTTGAGTGATATATTTCCATAATGCAAAACCACAAAGGAACATTGCTGTGAGATGTTGCAGAGCACAGCATGCTTCCTTCATCCTTTGCTGTTTACAGAAGTGACTGCACATGTAGAATGTGTAGAATATTGAAAACATGATGCAGTAAAAAGTGATTCTGATAATTTTCCCAGCAATGTGAGATGGCTTTAAAAAATAGTGTGTTCTGAAACAGAAGAGTGTATTCTGCTTTTAGAAGGCTTTTTAAAATAAACTCATTCAAGCTAAATTATATGATGGGATTTTAAAAAATTGTCATCAGCAGAAACATGAATGAATGTCATACATTTTGAATACGATATTGAATATGCACATTGAATATGTGCATATGAATGACTCACGTGCACACATGGGGTATTAAATAGAATCCTCTTCCCCCCTGCAAATCTTTCCCACTCTTTTTCGGTGCCCTACAGCAGTTAAATTCCAAAATGCAGCAACATCTTGCAGTAACTGGGTATGCTGCAAGTTACTGCATTTGCAGTATACATTACAAACATTCATACAGGGTTGGGACTGGCCTGCAGTTCCAAAAAGCAAACCTCCGCCTAATTCTGTAGTGCTCTAGTTTTGAGAGATGCTGCCTTTAACGGTCTCTGCCTATGAAGCATGAGGGAAGTCAGATGTCAGCTGACAGCTGCGATGTGGCTGAGATTTGTCTGTGCAGCTGAAAGGAGCTCTGTGTCTCTGCGAGAGAAAGATACCACCTTTGTGAGGATTAGGGTTTTCTGATACACTGGAACAATGAATTGGTCTATAGTCTGCTCCTTGCTATTGTGTTTCCTGAGGACCTGACATCCCCTATTCTGCTCCATGATTGAAAGTATGTTTGTCTTGTGACCAAATGCAGTCATTCTCAACATGAGGCTGGACATACACCTTTCATGCTGTGCAGCATACTGGCAAATAGCTAGTATGACAGTGAGCTTCCTTATTACAGTAAGAGTCTGCTCAGTCAAAAGTACCCAGTGTCTGATGCATTGGTATTTCTCCACACTACCTTACTTCCTCTAATTTTTCCCTGTCATACATGCCTCGTCATACTTCTTTTGTAATACCTTCTTTCCCTCCACCTGTACTGCTAATACTGCAGGGGTCAAGGAAAAAAGGCTGGTGTTTCCACTGCTCTAGGCAGGAGGAGAGCTGAGTTTTCAGGCAGCAGTGTCTGAATGAAGAGAGGCCATGTGTGTCTTCCCTGATTGCTTCAAGATGCTGCTGAACTGGTGCACCAATGTTTATTGAGAAGAATAGCTGGATTTTTTCCTAGTGCAGTATGGGATAAGGAGCTATGAGAGTTGTATTTCAGAGACCACATTAAGACTGATGGCTTGTAGTGTCTTATCACTGAATGGGAAGGTTCACTTTCAAAGCAATACGTAGCCTTTCTTACAGGTACTTATCCAAAGGCTGTGCAGTTTTGCCCATACCTTTCCAAATGCAAGTATGCTGTGGATGTCACTGTTTTTTCACAGAAGTAATCAAACACAGTAAAAAAATAAAAATGCTTGCAACATACTTTTGTGTGCTTTAGGCCAAACTGATCCAGTCGCTTCACCATGATCATTGAGATACATGCTGTGTGTCTGAGGCTGGAGAGAGTCAAAGGCATTTAATAAGTGAAAGATGATTGCAATTTCCCAGGGATCCCATTGCTTCCCTGTGGGCAGGGCTTGGGAGAACACACAGCAGCATTGGGGGGGTGACCTAGTGACAGCAGCCATCAGAGTCCCTGCTTGTTTCCTTTTGCACGAGGAGACTGAATTATCCACTATCACAACTCTGCTGCTGGTCACACAACACGTTTCAGCCGAGGTCATCCTGAGCCAGGGTTTAGGCAACCCTGTGATGCTGGAACTCTTTAGTACTGGGTGGATTCTTGCTGTACTTCACTTTTTCCAGTCACCAGATGATGTCCACAGTAAAACACTCCTCCCTTTCTTGCCACATGTTTTCCCTTCACTTGTTCTTTGCTGACCTCAGTCCATCAGGTGTTTGTGATTTTTTTTCCCTAGCTCATAAGTAAGCCTCATGGTGTGCTCTGTAAATAATTATTTTATGTAATTGTTTAAATGGAAGCCATTAATGATGGATTTATGTTAAATGGTATTATGTTGTATGCAAAATCCAAAATTGTTGTAATGAGGACCTAGACTGATCATCTTTTACAAGATAATCTGCTGTTTTACTGTGTATAGTTTCAAATTATGTACTCAAAACAGATAAAATACTAGGGATAAAAATATTGATATTTTCCAGCTTTGTAGCACAAATTGTATTATGCAGTTTAGTCATTGAAAAAAGCCTGTATAGATACCCATAAATGTTTCTAAAGCTCGTAGGCATTTCTGTAGAATAGTTAACAATGATATTTAAAAACATTACTTTCTCAGGAAAAAAAAAATCAAAACAAAATTATGCCTGGATAGAAACTTCCCATGCTATGAAGGGCCACAAAAATCTCAGTGTGATTAATTCAATTTTGATTTTTGTGTGTGTGTCTGTGTATGCAGAGCCATCTGCCCAGACTTTTATGTAGGAAGAGAAGCTTGGAAGCCTTCTGATGACTGGTCCAATTTCGATGATTGGCTGAAAACTCGAGATGCCAGGAAAATAAACAAGTAAGATGTCAGGGAGCTGGATATCACATTGCCTGCTGCTGTCAGATATTGCCCCCCCCCCTCCCTTTTTTTTTTTTGTTTGAGATTGGATGCAGCTGATCTATCAGTGAAAGTGGTCTTTTTTAATGACTCCTTAGAAGTGGATGGAATCTGTGACCTTTTTTTTTTGCCTTGAACAGCGTTCAAGGACAACTCTCTCATGAAGAGTTTTGTCATCTCATGTTGATAACAGAGACTGCAAGTTGCTTCCTCTGCCTCAAAAAGCGTGGTTTAAAAATGACCAGTGACACAAGCAGTGAGAAAGCATAATTCTCATCTTGAGTCTCACTGAGTGTAACAGACTGATACTTTAAGATGTTGTATGGAAAGAAGAAAAGAGTTTTTGATTGTGCCTCAATACTTGCCCAGCACGGTGTAACTGGCCCCAGGTAGCTGACAGCTGGGTCATCTGTTGTCAGGGCACAGGGAGGGCCAGCGGCTCCCTGGGGAACAGGGCACTGGGAGCCAGGAGGAGTATCATGTCTTCGTGCGCATTTATCAGCAAAGACCTGTCACTGGCAGAGGTGCTGTGTTGCCTTAATAACACAGAAGGAAGCTGTTGGCAAGACAATACTGAGAAGGGGTCAGACTAATTAGACCGAATTAATTAACTTCCTGGGAGAGCAAATGTCTTGGACTGTTGGCAGTAGCTGTGTTGAAGGTTGCTGGGCTTAGCTATTTGGTGAGAAGGTTATGGGAGACATAATTGAATCATCTCCAGAGAACTCCTGTCTCGGAGGGGTCAGTTGTTGTGGAAACTTTTAAGTTTGGAATCTGTCCCCTCTCTGCTGCAATGGGAAGGAAGGGTTGGGCTCTGCCTGGCATTTCTTACAGGCGATTCACATGTTTCAAGTGTCAGCTCCAGTGAAGAAAGACTTTTTTGGCACTTAGTTTGCTTCTGTGTGTGTTGGTGTGTTGGCAGATAACGTGGTATTTGCAAGGCTGATGTATTGACGATGTATATAGCTTGCATGCCCCAGGGGGCAAGGAGTTGGGGCTGAAAATATAGCCTTGAGGTGATCTAAAAGACTTAACTGCTACCTCTGTCCCACTGCTACTTTCTCTTTCCTGCCTCTGCATGCTGACACCTGCTTCAGGGGTAAATGGGTGTTTTCAGAATACAGCTTCTGGGCAAGGTGTATTTCAAGCTACACTGTAAATTCTGAAAACATCTACCATGTTTGCCACACTGACTTTCCTACAGGAAATATCTCAGACACTAACTTAAAGTTATTGTCAGCATTTTGGCTGTCTAATGCATAGCATTCTCTAGAGAGGTCTTTATTACTTTTACTATCTACATTTACAAAGCAAAAATTCATCCAGCTTCTCAGAGAATTTTAAGCTTTTTAAACTCTTAGGTAGGTGTTCAATCATCCACTTTCCATCCCTTTAGGTTTCCTTCCATCTATGTTATTCATGTTGTGTTTTTATTTAATTCCATTCAGTTCTTTTTTTTCTCTTTCTGATGATTTCAGATTAGCAACCCCTAATATCTGGCTGAAATAATGATTTGTTTGAAGTATGTGAAAGAAAATATAGTAGCAGTGTGATATGGGGACACTTCCATGCATCTCTATATTTTCTTTTCATATTTTCAAATACTGGTTTTACTATGGGTGCTTAATTTGCATTTGCTTATATGTTACAGAGAAGCTGATGCTGTCCTGAAATATTTAAAGGAACAGTGTGGTGCAAAGAAATTAGGGGTCGTTGGTTTTTGCTGGGGTGGTATTGCTGTACGTCACCTGATGATGACATACCCAGAATTAAAGGCTGGTGTATCTCTCAATGGTAGGTAAATACAAGGATGCAATACAAGTAGGTATACATGCATATGTATATTGTGTACCTTAAGTACTTGATCTAGCATTATTTCTTTAAATCAGGCTGTCAGCTGATGAAGAGAGATATTTTCAGCAGAGTAGGAAGGATATTATGCAAAGAAGATGGTGGTGAGGATATTTGTTCCTAGTTTCAGAATGGGTCATAGCAGCCATGTCTTTATTTCAGATTTGGACACGCATAGATGTTGCCCTTCGGTCACTTTCCCAATTTAGCTCTCTTTTCCTGTTTACTACTGCTCTGCATGCTGCAGAGCTAGAACTTCACCCAGGGGCAGAGAGTGTTATTTTTGCTCTAGGTGCTCTGTAAAGTTAGATTGTGGTTATTTTAACACCAGCTTTCCTTTTATGCTCTGCTCAAGAAGCTGGGATAGCTCAGCTGTCCTTTCCTGACGTTCTCAGAATGTAAATTTTGGACTGCTTACTAAAGCATTGACTTTCCCAGTCAGCTCAAAAGAACTCAAGCTTGTATGCACAGAAGGCATCTTTCAAGTCTTATTAATTCAGATATTCAGTCTGTATCTTAAGAGACCGGCTTAAATAGAGTTTTGATCTAGGAGGGTATTTGTCTAGGAGCCATGGTTACAGCAGCTTGAAAGTAAAGCTAGTATGTATGGCTACATATTCATGAGACTTGAAAACTTTTACTGCAGAAGCAGAGTGCTGTATTTGAATCTGGATTTCACCTTAAAAGTCAATTGAAGAGTTTTTTGGTTTCTTTAATGTTTTCTAGGACTAATCAAGGATTCTGATGATATATCCAATCTCCTGAACCCTGCATTTTTCATTTTTGCTGAAAAAGATGACTTCATTCCCCTTCGTCAAGTATGCTGATAACCTCCGTCTTCTTTCATTTCTGCATGTTTAAATTTCCATCCTGAATTGGGAGTCAAAACTCAGCCTCATAACAGTGCTTGAAGGGCAAAAAAAAAAAGCAGAAAAACGGAGCCAGACATAGAAAAGTTAATGTAACACAGGCAAAGAATGAAAACTAGATTTTTTTTTTCTTAAGTCTCTTTCTTTTGTAAAAGTATGGCTAATAATCCAGGTAACAAAGTTTTATCAAAATATCATTGCTGTTTTGGAGTACTCTACTCGAGGACCTATCCTTTGCTGTAAGACACCGTTTTCTATTGGTCCTAGGAACCCATAAACCATGTAGGATACGCCAAATTGCATCCATAGGCATCTGTTAGAAGCTTTTTGTTCAGTTGTATTTAGTATTGTCCTATATTTCACATATAGGAAATACTTTTGTTATATCAGTATCTTTGCAGATTGTTGGACCTGCTTTTATAGTCTAACAAATTTTCACTGCAAAGATGTTTTTTCTTTATATAATTTCACTTTTTGTTTTGCCTATATGGAGCTTGATTATTAGTGTCTAGCCTAAATGATAAATTAGGGAGTTGAATCATGAATAAGATGAGGAGTGGCAACATGGAATATGGCTATATTAATACAGCTACTACTATGCTATACTTTACAAGTCACCTTGCTGGAGCAGAAGCTGAAGAAAAATTGTAAAGTCAGTTATGAAGTTAAAATTTATCCTGGACAAACTCATGGTTGTATACATCGCAGAAGAGAAGATATCAATCCTCAGGATAAGCCTTATATTGAGGGAGGAAGAAAGGATATGATCAACTGGCTGAATAAATACATTAATAGAAGAGCAACTTAATTTTTAATGCAATTATGTAATACACTGGGGAGATTTTTGATAACACATTTTAGAAAATTGGGGAGAGAGTTTGTTGAATTAGAAATTAAAGAAATAAGCAAACAAAATAGTTTAGAAGTTTTTGTCAGTAGATTCTAATTGATACTTTCGTATTACATTCTTTTGAAGAAGTCTCAGACTTCACCTAGCAGCATCATGTTTTAATAAGCTGAGAAATATTCTCCAGTTCCCTGAGATTTATCCTAATGCTTGAAACAAATTAGACTAATGGTAAATTAATCTATTTGTGTATTATGGCCACTGTTCATCTAAGTTCTACATAAATCACAAGTCCAAAATTTAGGAACACAAATGCATTGTTTGGTGAAGTTCATTTTGAGAGACTAGGCTTTTTTGACTTGTACGCTGGTGGCAGATGTGTGTTTAACAGGTGATGTAAGTGGGCGTATCTTGTTTCAAAATTTGTTGCTAAGGTTATTCAGATGGGGTACTACTTGCTCAGATTACCTTTGGTTCTGTGACACCCTATAGATGATTTCCTGGTTAGTTTAGGAATTCAGAAGTACAATGCAGTCTGCAGCCAGGGCGTTTTAATGTGTGGCTTACAGCCATGGTCGCTGCTTAAAGAAGAAATGTTACATGTTTTTGCATAATATACCTCATTACGTAATTTTTCCTTCAATGATACAACAAAAATCTCCGTGTTGCATCAGCTCAGGGTTGCATCTACCTCAGCACCCAGCCTCCATCAGTGGCCAGCGGTGGCTGCGCAGGGAATTTCCCTTCTCGCTCCGCAGCCTGGCAGCCAGCCGTTCAGGGGATTCCTGAGCTGGATGTTGCCACTGGAGCAGTGCGTCGAATGGCCACCGATGGACCCAGCCTCTGTGGATTTGCCAGTCCCTTTTTGAACCTGCTTGAAATCCTGACCTCCGGTGCACCCTGTGACAGTGACTTCCATGGTTTAATTATGCCTCGTGGGGAGAAAGGCTTGTGTTCATTAGTTTGAAACCAGCTGCCTGGTATCTGCACAGGGTGCTGGTACTTCTAAAGTTGTAAGAAAAAAAATGAGAACGTATGTCCCTTTTCACCTTCTCAGTGCTACTGATAAAGACTGCTGTGTGATTTAATGGGGAGAAAATGTAATTTAGGAAAGTCGTAATTTTACTAATGACAATCTCTCAAATTAAATATACTACCAGAGAAATATACATTGTGGCATGTCTCATGTAAAGATAGTCAACTGTTCATTAACTGTCTCTCTCTCAATGGGATTTTAATGTCTTTTGCTTTTTCCCATCCATGCTTTTCTCCTTTACATGCTGCTAATGGCCCCCATCTTTCCCATGGGGACGTCTTCAGAGAATTCTGGCCTGAGACTGCCAACCAACTGTTGCTTTTCATGTGATGCCATCTAGATGTAATACATTAATCCAGCTGTCACCTGGGTGATACAGCTCTCACAACACGTTTTTGCAGGAGAAGAATGAAGAGGTCTGGAAGTTTATTGTACCTTATCGACGCCTGTGTAAAACCTGGATAACTCCAGGGTAATGGAGCTCCATTAGCACTAGAAGGTTAGCTAATGTGCAAGAGAACGATCAGGTCATGTATTTAGAGAACAGCAGTCATTCACAAACGCCGGGATGGCATGTGTGCTGTAACACTAACACCATGACTAAGCAAAAAGCAACAAACAGACCGAGATGCAGCATTTGTTTGAAGTGAAAGGGTAGCGACGAGTTACTGCAAGAACAGCCAAACCCTCATGCTAAAACTGTAAGTCAGTGAGTAAGAGCTGGAAGTGCGAGATCCGAAAGAGGTCTGTGTTCAGAGTGCAAAGTGCAATCTGCTGCACTTACATGAATGTGTTGCATTCAGTTGTGACCTCTAAGTGAAACAACTGCATGGGTTGCCTGTCGAGGAACATGAAACAACAGGAAATCAGATCAAAAGCCATTTAATTTCTAATGTTTAATGTTAATATTAAGGTAAAGGGGAATAGTCTTATGTATAAAGAAGAATTTTCAGAGCCACATGGAGGGAGTGGAAATGTGGTTAAGCAGTTCCAGTGGACAGAAGGTTCTGCAAGCATTGCTGTCATTTCTCTTTTCTAGGAATGATTTAAACTGCCAATTTTTCTCGCATTTATTTTACTATTGTTCTTTGAAGTTGCTATGGAGTATCTAAGCTTCCTGTGTGCTATAATTTGTTGTTTGTGGTGTACAAGTGGGAAAAGCCAAAAAACCAAACCGAAACAAAAGGGTTGGGTTTTGAACCTTATGACTTCACTCTGGAATTCTTTGGTAGGCTTTTTTCATTCATTTGACTTTATTTTAGGAATTGTAAATAAATAGCATTGACAAAGTTATTTAGAACATGGGAAAACAGCTTATGTATGAGGACTAAATTGTAAGGCTGATCGCTTTCCCAGGGCAAAAGTGTGGTAGAGTAACATGCATTTAGTGCTACTTTTTAGGTGTGCCTCTGAAGAAAGAGTGAATTTTGGATTGCTAATATTCTTAGATAAAGCTCTTTAAAGAATAATCCTAATAATCCAATAAAAAGAAAATCAGGAGAATGGGAGGGATACAAGGATCAGGCAGTCACTTTTAATTCAAAAGGGGAAAAAAAAGTATAAAATGTCCTGTGATAGGACAAAAATGCATCAGCATTTTAAGCACTTATTATAATATGTACAGCAATCTACAAAACTGTTACCTTTTTACATGTTATTTATTTTCACTCTGAAAGAGAAAGTATTTTTCCTATACTAAATAACTTTTGTCTTGTATAGAGCTTTGAAACGATGTCTCTACTTCACTACCTCACCCTGCTGATGACTTTAGATCTGTCTTTTACCAACGGATGAATAGTCTAAGGAAATAATAATAATAATGCCAATGTCATGTTTAAAAGTGATACTACCCCCATCTTTGAAAACAAAGGAACATCCTTTTTTTAAAAAAAAAAGTTTTGTCTAAATGAATTGGTCAGCTAAGTCAACAAGTTTCCTAAGCTGAAAAGAAAAGACCTCCAATCCTTAATACCATTTTATGTAAGTTAAAAAGAAGGTTTGGTACTCAGCTCCAGCAGTACTCTGCTCACAGTAGCACACCCTGCCTAAGCTACCAATAAAATTAACAGCTTTAAAAAGAGTGAACTTTTAACTTTGTGACTCTGCGATATGCAAAGATAAAGGCAGTAACTTACGTAACTCTTATTTGAAGAAACCTGATCCTTGCGCTCACAGCTTTCATTTTATGAGTTAGCACTTTCTTTTGGGATCACATTCAGTGGTAACCATCCCCGCTGAGCTCCTACAACTTGCCTCTACTATCTCGCACACTTGCTGTGCTACAGGTATGTGTGGTTTTTTGTTTTTTTTTTTCTTAAACTTTCATGGCTTTTCCTCCCGAGAAATGTAAAACAAGTGCATGCTCAGGTCTGACTCAGCATGTTCAGGGGACTTTCATTTTATCTAAGTGCTTTTTTAAAGAGTCCATGCTCATTTAAATGCTATCAGGGGCAACTTTCTTCCCTAATTGTTTGAGTTGATGGTTCAGAAACCTTTTATTTTCCCTCCTGAGGTGCAGAAGACCTCTCAGGCGGAGGACTCAGGAGAGTCTGTTGAAAGTGAGAGAGCTGTACAGCATAGCTTTATATTTTTCTGGTCGTAGGTTTGAGTTTCTAAAAACTAAAGTTATTGTTTGGTCTTCAAATAAATGCTCAAGTGCTTGCAGGTGGAGATGGCGAAAGACCAAGGCTGTGGGTTTACAGATCCTCCTAAAAGAATAGCTTTGATGGATGTAAGAGAGGGAGATTAATTTTTAAAGAATGTTTCAGGAGCATCTTAGAAATGGAAAAAGATACTGTTTGTGTGTAATGCGTACTAATGTAGAAACACAGAAACATTTTGACCATGCTAAAAAGCTTGCAAGTCTATATGGCTTATAAACCATACAAGCCAACACCACCCCTCACAGGCTTGTGCCTGGAGCTCTTTTCCTCAGCTGCTATATCTGTGTCTTTAAATATTTCATGTTTTACATGTTGCTTTGCATTTTATCAGATAATGTGAAATGTTTGCAATTAAAGCCTTTAAGGATGTACTGACTGATAAGGGCATCATGTTTGTGTTTCTAGAGTTCTGAAATATATGTTTCTTTAATATTCAGTTGCTGGTTTTGTTATCTTTTCTGATTTTAGTCTAATCAAAAGGAAATAGTTTGTGAATGGAAAATTAGTTATCAGCGCTTTCCTGTTATATATTTAAACTGTATTTTGTCTTATATGCTTGTCTATTAATTAATTTTTTCCTGGTAGACTTATTTTAAATTAGAAGTCCTATATGTGAGTACAACATGTGAAAAAAACCCCACCTATGTGTAGGTGTGGGTCATTTAAAAAAAAAACGTAGAGGATTAGTATAAATGTGTGCCCAGAGTTAATACAGCTTCCAAATACGATACAGCTTGTCTTGAATTGATCTGTGAAAATGCAGTCTCATGAGACCCACAACCCTAGCCCTGCTCACACTGCTTGGGATATTCTGAATTTTAAAGTCTGCAAATCCAGAACATCTTGGTCCCTGGAAATCTGTGCAAATGTCCTGGCTGTAGGGTGGTATGTTTGTTTGTTTGCTTTTGCTAAAACTGTTCCTTTAGTGCCACAACTATTTACATCCCACTAGTTCAGGGACTGTTCAGTAACCTGCTTTTTCCCATTTCTCTCTGTGAGTATATTTGGCATAGTCAAGTTTGAACATCCTTGTTCCTGCATTAGCAAAGTTTTCTTAGATAGTACACATGATTTACCTGTAGAGAGTTTAGGTAAAGCTTTATCTAAATTCTCTCCACGTTCTTTAATAATTTGGAGATGCTCTGTGCATGTTCAAAGAAGTTATTTGGGTCATTTTGCAGCAATATGAAGTCAGTTCACCCAGTTGGTTAACCTAATGTCGACGGCATAAAATCATTAACTTGAGACCAAGGAGCTACAGAAATCCGTGTTAGATTCTGCTGGAATTTTTTGACCTTTGTGAATTACTTGTTTATTTTCATTTAAGCAATAGTCTGTAAAAAATTAACCATACCCTACTGTTACCTTCTTGATAAAATATTTGGCGCAACTTAAGGAATTTTTCCTTATGTTCAGTTTTCTTTTTTCCTGTCTTGGAGTTTGAATGCATTCCTTATTTAATATTAAACAGATATGATTTTATACTCTGGCTTTCAACGGTATATTTATCTTGGCACCTTCCTTAAGTAGCCTCTTTCAAAAGTCTGCAACATCTGAGGCTAAAGCTGGTTTAGAAAAAGGATTTCCTGACACTGAAAAAGTCAGCTATGGAATATTTTAAGTCTCTGGAGGAAGATATCACGTTTAATCTAAGTGTAATTATATCTTTCTACACAGTAGCTGTGTTTTTTTTTTTTTTTCTTCAAAATGCTAAGTCCTGTATTAAGCCTTTACAGTCTATACTAAAGAAAGTTATGCATGCTTGACAAGGACGTACACATGATGAAGAGTGAAAGAACTGGCTTCATCGCTATTTAATTTGTGATGGTTGCCTGGCTGGTTGGTCATAACTTTATTTTTATTGTATTACTTACTGTAGGGCATGGAAGTCCTAGTTAGGTACCAGGTATCCACTGAAGAGTTCATAACATAAGTAATTCTAGCAAGGTTATTATTTATAAAAAAACAACTCAATGGGCTTATTAAGTAATGTTGCATTTTAGATCTAACTGTAATCAGCACGTTCACAATATGACTGTAATGATGCAAAAATTCAGCAGTTTATGATACCGCTGTATTTTGATCTTTTTTTGATATGTTATGCTGTGGTATTGACAACTGAATATCTTTTGTTCTATAGTACCACACATGGCTAACGAATCGAGGCCCTGCCCGTGCGATATCGGAGACAGGTTTGACTATGAGAGTCGTGGCCAGGAAGTACAAGCTGAGCACATCAAGGCGTACATTTGCAAACCACCTGCCAGCACAGACAAAGCTGTGATTGTGATTCATGATATATTTGGATGGCAACTCCCAAACACCAGATACATGGCTGATATGCTTGCGGCTCATGGATACATGTAAGAAATACTACTGTTTTCAAAGTGTCTTTTTAATAAGAAAGTTTGTTGAACCAACTATTTCCTTTTTTTATATAAACCATACAAACACAAATAATTTCATAGGCTTCCCTTACATGATTCTCTAAAGAGTTTCCTGTTTGTTAAAACAGTCTAAGAAGTCTAAAATAATTGAGTAGTCCTACCATAACAACATAGTAGGCAAGCACAGAAGAAGAGAGGGGAAACAGAGAAAAATCTTATACTGCGTCTTTGAGCCCGAAGCAGTCTGCTTCCTCCCTCCTGACGTAGCACCTGTGCAACTTTGCTGTTTTGGTAAAAATTCCAGAGAAGCTGAAAGTCGTTCCATGAATGTAAAGTGTACCAGCTTGTGCCAAAGAAAGAAACAAGTTCTCAAATATATGAAAAGCATATTGGGTATCCTCTTTCCTGTATTACTGGGTTAGCATTCCTTCTAGCCTAAATGTACATACCAAGTAAATTGTAGTTGGTTTTTTTTTTTTTTAAATTTGGTAGGAAACCACTGAGGATTTTCAACTGAAGTTAACAATTTGTCAAACTAAATGAATTTTAACAGGGCAAAATGTATCTGGGAGTTATGCTAAGTCTCCTTATTAGACATAGAAAAATAATGAGGGTTGCTTGTATAGTGCTTTGATGTAGATAAAATTCTATGCATATTCAACAAAATGAATTTGTTGTATAGTACCGACAGACTTCCCTTTAATCCTTTCTCTCTACTATTTCACGGGCATAAAATGTTTTCATTTTTCTTGCAGAGCCATCTGCCCAGATTTTTTTGTGGGACAAGAAGCTTGGAAACTTTCTAATGACTGGGCGACTTTCAATGACTGGCTGAAAACCCGAAATGCCGGCAAAATAGACAAGTACAACCATTGATCCTTGTCCTGCAAGTGGCCATCCTTCTGTTTTAGGAATTTTTGTCTCAGTAAAGATGCAGGATTAGATCCTAAATTATTAATGGGTCAAATACAGCTGGATGTCCACAGATAGAAATTTCACGCAGCTCATGGGTCAAGCTCATGCTTACGTGAGGGGTGCTTTTTGGAGAAAAGTAGAACTTTGAACAAGAATAGAAGTCCCCACTGTTTTCCTGTGCAGAGAGTAGAATTGAGATGCATGACTCAAAAGAAAAGAACCAGCAAAGGCTAGAAAGTGCAGCTCGCTCATTCCACTTCAGTTTGATTCAGTTCCCACAGGTAGGCACAGCTTCCATGGATTTCAGATAGGGTCCAAAGGTAGTCACCAAACACCCTTTAACTAGGACACACGTAGCTTGCTTGCATAATGTTACTGCTGATTTTGAAGCAACAATTTCAAATTGACTTCCACAATTTCATAAAATATTTGTCTCCCTGATGAGAGACAGTTCACTTAGAGCCACGTTTGTGATAATGGGATGCTCTTGACTGGCTGTGTGTCTCCTAAACTTTTATTTGTGTTAGCCTATAAGGCAACTATTGGCATTTGTGAACTTAATTGGACTGCTGTTTATAAAATCACCTTAGGTTCTAGTAACGGTCATCTAGGAAGACTGATTTTTCTCCTTTGTCTTCTCCCCTGGAATTTCTCTTGTATTTTAGAAATGAATAATAGTAAACTAGTGTTGTGGGTTGACCCCAGCCAGCAGCCAAGCACCTATACTGCCACTCACTCACTCCCCCCAAGAGGGATGGGGGAGAGAATAGGAGGAACAAAGCAAGAAAACTCATGGGTTGAGATAAAGGCAGTTTGATAAGTGAAGGAAAGAGAAAAACCGGGAGCGGTGCAAAGACAGTCACTCACCACCTCCCAGAAGCAGACTGATGCCCAGCCAGTCTCTGAGCAGCAGACACCTTGGAGGGCAGGGGAACAGAGCTAGAGCTTTAATTCACTTTCATTTACATGTCTCAGAGAAGTCGATGTCATCCTGAAGTATCTGAGGGAACAATGTGGTGCAAAGAAGATTGGTGTCATTGGGTTTTGCTGGGGTGGAGCAGCAGTACAACATCTGATGCTGAAAAATCCTCATTTAAAGACGGGGGTGTCCCTCTATGGTAAGTCTCAAATATCTATTTTGTTCTGAGCAGGTATGACTGGTGCAGGAACTTATTCTGTAGGAGTATTACTGTAACAAAACTCAGTGCAACATCTTATGGAATGAGGTGATTTTATTATACAAAATCTTTAAGCAATCTGATTTTGCACACTCACATTTTTGCACTTAATCATAACCAGCAAGATCTACGTATTCAAGTGGCATGGCCAGGATTGCTTCCGTGCAACATAGTGTACGAGGGACACCAAATGCCAAGACCTCACTATGGCTCAGGTTCCTCTTGGCTGGCAATGACAAAATGGTTTCTGGGCACATCTTTTATATTTTTTAGGAGCCAGCAGTTACTATGAAGTGGATCTTTGCCACAGTATCTTGCTTACCTCAGTCAGCATCAGTCAGGACAGGTTGCTGCCCACTGTTTGGTTTTTACTGTTTGGAAGATCTGTTTGATGCACAGGTCTGTACTCTATTCCCCTGTTGGGCTAAGATGGAAAGGCACGGTGGTAGTGATACGCTACAACCTTTTTGCTGTCCTTCTGTTAGAGTGCAGGGTCTTCTGCTGACGAGTCGTCTGGGCTGGGGGCTGCACAGGCTGCGGACCTTCTGGTCATGACATGAATAACTTATTCCTCAATGCTGCTGCTGGCAGTGGTCCCTCATTACTAATATGAACCATTTCTTAACTCTCTGTTTTGACCCTTGCACCCTCACACTTCCATTCTTAATGCATTTACACTACCTTTAGTGTTTTTTGTTATAAACCTCTGTACTTCTATAGAACCCAGAGCAGTTTATATTCATTTGAGGTGAAGGTATTTTTCCAGAAAGTTTATGGGCATTATTTGCTGATCAGCTGAGTCAATTCAACAATGCTATTTGCTAATTTTTTACTTTTCTGTTGTAATAATTTCAGTAATGAAAAGAGTGGCGAGGGTGGTAGTTAGTTAGTTTTACTCTTACTTAAATTTAAATATATTTGAATAGTCAAAATTACAGTATCAGTTTGTTAAGAATTTATATCAGTGTAAATATATGTACACTGAAATCCTAACTATGTATCTGGAATGATGAATATTTACAATTATCTGAAAAATGGCCATACCAGGCTAGAGACGAACAACTCTGAAGTATACATTTTTCACAGGACCCTGTCTCTGACAGTGGTCAGAAGCAGATAACCAAAGAAAACCACAAGAATGGGGCAAGTATAACAATTCTTCCCTGACTTTTTTTCAGACAGAGCTGGTCTTTCTACCTTTAATGACATCCCATGTCACAGGAAGTTCTCACAGCAAAAGGGACTTTGAAGTAAAGTGTGTTTGATTTCACTACAAACTGATCAGCTCTAACTGATCAGAATGTCTTTTATTTTGACCGTATAGCTTTGGTAGTGATTTAACCACTTTAAGTGGCATGACTCATTGTATATGCCTCTCCTTCTTCCCTAGGAGTGATCAGGTTCTTTGAGGACAGATCCAGTTTGCTTCATCCCACCTTCTTCATTTTTGCTGAAAAGGATGAGCACATCCCATTGGAGCAGGTGAGTTTCCCACCAGAGAAATTTATCTTTTTAATGCTTTTCATGCTTGTTTTGTAATTTGGTATTTAATTAAGAGAAAGTAGAAAACTAATTTGCACTCTTCTTCCTCTTTCACTAACTCTTACAGTAGTTCTACACAAATTTATGTTGTTTATCCCCAAATCAAAAAGCTTTACAGTGACAGTATAAAATGTTTTCTATTTCTGTTGCAAAATATGGATGAATTATATATGAAAGTTCCCAGGAGGAAAAGGGCAAGAATCCAAAGGAAGACTTTTGTCAAGTTTAAGATAGGAGACCCTCTTTAATCATACTCATGGTGCATAAAATCAGCAGCAAGTCCCCACCTGTACTGGTAGAATCACTAGTTGCAGGAGAATTAAAAAATCCTGTGACTATCCTTTTCCTTCCCCCCACTGTCCTGCAGAGCTTCTCCTTTCTCGTACTCTGTCAACAGCCTTCCTGGGGAGCCTGGGTGGAGAATGGCTGGACAAAGACGATTATCTACCAAGGGGATCAAAGAGGAAGACACACTTTTTCACTGAGTGGTGTTGGCTTAAATTTTCCTGCCAAAAATGCCAGTAGCTTTGAACTGCCCATTTTGTATCTGTGCCTCTCCTGCCTCGATTTCAAATTAATTTAAAATCTTGCCCCATTTTTTTTTGGTGAGGTCTATCAGCATTAACTTGTACAGAGATCACTACATGCTAACCTTCTCATGACATGGAGCAATAGGTGTTTTTACCTTTACAGGTATTATTACTGTAACCCATATACTTTTTTGCAGTTTTATACAGTCACATGTTGTTATTTTACTGGAGGAAAAAGCCTAGTTAAATAAAGAAAGTGTAGTAACAGAAATGCACTTGGGTATAAAATTAGTAGAAGAGAAAATGATGGCAAGGATGAGCTCTGTCTGTCTCCCAGAAAAGTAAAAAACCAGGACAATTTGAGGACTGTAAATACATAACCTGTTAAATCCGTACTCAGCCAACATGGAACATTCTGTGTTACAGGTCACTCTACTGGAGCAGAAGCTTAAACAAAACTGTAAAGTTGATTATGAAGTTAAAATTTACCCTGGACAGACGCATGGGTTTGTACATCGCAAAAGAGAAGATATCAATCCTCAAGATAAACCTTATATTGAGGAAGGAAGAAAGGATATGATCAACTGGCTGAATAAATACCTTTAGCATAAACAAATGCCCATAAAATAAATCAATTGTTGTAGGAAATCAGAAAATAATACAGACTATATTGATTAAAATGTTCTTAAAACCACCAAAATATTTTGTAGAACTCTTTTGCAATAACACTACTTGTTTGGACTTATTTTCTAAGTAGATGCTTAGAAATGGCTTTTCAAATGTTGGAAGCTATAAATGTAAAAAAGATTTAAAAAATTGATCTTGTGTATCTTAAAATTATTAGAATCTCATGTGGGATATTTTATAGAATCTGAAAATTTCACTTTTTTGTATTAATGTCAATATGATAAAACATAATTGAAACTCTGCCCATGCTTGAGAAATGCTCTCCTAAAAGCCACTTTTAGAGTTGCTGAGCTGTGAGATTTTTCAGCTCCAAGATTTTCAGCTTTGAGGTAAATATAGTTCTGGTTTGGAAGGCTGGGATGTTTTCTTGGAAACAATATCCTATTCAGAATTCATAAAAACAGATCTAGAAAGAGGGAAGGGGAAGGACAATGGGAAGAAATGTATGCAGACAGAAAGGGGGCTGCAAAAAGTTGGGAACCGTGATTGAAGTGAGGAGACTAGAGGAACATGCAGGACCAGAGAAGGATGTGAGCAAGTGGGAAGAGGGTAGGACACAAAGAGACTGTGAAGAGCAGGAAAACTCAGAAGAGAAAGAAGAACAAAGTAGGAACAGGAGACTGCCATCAGACATACACAGAGCATAGGAACAAATATGAGTGACGACTTCCAATCCCTCTTCTCCTTCCATTCCCAGACTGGTCTGGTAGGGGGAGACCTCAGGAGGGCAGGAGTTTCTTGGTGGCTTGCCACCTTGTTATTTCCTTTAGCATCTTATTTTCCACTCCATGTCTATCAACTGATTTCTGGATAAAGTTTTCATATCTTTCAGGCATTACCGGTAGCCTAAAAGTGCTACCAGTGCCTTCGTTTCTTCCATGGAAAGGCTGGCGTCTGTGTTTGTCCTCCTCCCTTCCCCGGGGACATCGCACATCTGCCTGTGCCTTCAGAGACATCAGGGCTCACAGAGCTGCTTAAACTCCCCGAGGTGAATTTCAAACCTGCCCGCATCTAGTTATCCTGTTTTAATTTTTCTTCCCCCTCCATACACCTGTACTCCTGTTTCCACTATAAAATTAATTTCATTCAGAATATGGTTAAATTTAACTTTTGTGACGATTGAACCAAACGGCTCTGGACTCTTCAGTCTTTACCAGACTTTCTGGTATTAGTTCTCCTTCCTGATAATAGCCAGCACTTTCCTTGTGCCTTCTCTCACTTTTGATGCATTTACAAATACTTTTATTACTAGTTCTGTGTTGCTTGATAGCAGTAAGCTACGCTGCTGCCTTAGCCTTTCTATGGGGTGTGTTGTTCCTTTACTCTTGTCCTCAGACGCATGCCTGTGTTTCCCCCTTCGTAAGCCTCCCGTTTGATTCTGAAACACTTGTGGACATCTGGATGCAGCTGCAATGGCCTCTTGCTATGCTGTCTGCCGTTCCTCCACATCAGGATTGTCTGACATTTAATAACATGTCTTTCATGAAACACTGGCGTCCTCCACTCCTTTCTCCGTCACGATATTTTCACCAGAAGCCCCAGCACCAGCTGAGCTTCTGATGCTGCTCTTTCCTTTTTTTTCAGGAAAGTGCATCGCATCATTCCACAATCAGCTTGATGCAAATCCTGCCACCTCTCATGGTCTCAGGCAGTTGCCCTACCCTCTGCCCCTCATTCAGGGTTGAATCTAAACCACCCTGGATGACAGCATTACCTCCTCACCTCCACAAATCCTTCCAGTATCGTCAGGTTTCTCTCTGCTGTGATTTAGCTGGGTATCAGGATGGGTAAGGCACAGCATATCCCTGCTGACTAGGGGAACATCACTGTGTTTCAGCTCCTCTCAGTGTAATTCACAGTAATCCTGTGGTGGGGTTTTGCCTGCATCTGTGATGCTGAGGGAATAGATGTGGCTAAAACATCGTACTGAACACAACCCAGTTTCCCCTCAGTGAAATACATGTGTGTCGCGGTTTAACCCAAGCCAGCAACCGAGCACTGCGCAGCCGCTCACTCGCTCCCTCCCCACCCGGTGGGGTGGGGGAGAGAATTGGAAGGAAAATGGTAAAACTCGTGGGTTAAGATAAGAACAGTTTAATAGAACATAAAGGAAGAAAATAATAATGATATTAAGAACAATAATAAAATGACAATAATAATAATAAAAGGATTGGAATATACAAAACAAGTGATGCACAATGCAATTGCTCACCACCTGCTGACTGATGCCCAGTTAGTTCCCGAGCAGCAATTCCCCCACTCTGGCAAACTCCCCCCAGTTTATATACTGGGCATGACGTCCCATGGTATGGAATACCCCTCTGGCCAGTTGGGGTCAGCTGCCCTGGCTGTGTCCCCTCCCAGCTCCTTGTGCCCCTCCAGCCTTCTCGCTGGCTGGGCATGAGAAGCTGAAAAACCCTTGAAGTGGTCTAAACACTACTTGGCAACAACTGAAAACATCAGTGTGTTATCAACATTCTTCTCATACTGAACCCAAAACATAACACTGTACCAGCTACTAGAATGAAAACTAAGTCTATCCCAGCCAAAACCAGGACAACACGAGCCCAGGGAGCCCTCAGCTTTCACAGAATATTGCCCTTCAAGGTGCAGCCCTTCAGTTGTCTCCCTTGCCCCACAATATTTTTCTTCTTGCAGCCGCCTCCGCCAGCCGTGCCTGGCAGCTCTCTCATGCAGCCGCCTTCCCTCTGGCTCCCTCCTCGCCAGGGACATGTGTCAGGCCAGCCCTAAGCGGTCTGTGACGGGGCTGCAGCCGCACGTGTGTCTTCCTTTGAACTCCGCCGTGCCTCTGCTTCGGAGTCTCCAGCCAGGTGAGTCCCACCGCAGGTCCCGCATCCCCATCAGCTCTCCAGCCATCCCTCCATCTCGAACCCCTTCTTCACGTCACTCCTGCCGCTTCCTCCTGCGACGCACCGTGTAACTCCTGAGAGAAAACCGTTTTCCCTGCACCACGCTGAGGTGATGCTAAAGAAACTCTCTTGTCTTTCAAAAAGATTTCATGCAGACGTCTGACATAAGAGTGCAAAAGCTTCCCCTGCTCCGTGGCTCGGTCAAGTGCTCTTCTCTGGTTTGGGCACTCCAGATCGTGTTCCCGTCTCCTTGCTGTTTGATTTCAGGAGAGATGAGCCTGTTCTTAGTGGGTCCTGATTAAAAATTGGACAACGCACAAACCTTCCCAGAAGAAAGCAACGTGGGTAAGTGGTTCAGATAGTCTGTAAAGTGTGAATTCAATTCCCAGCTATGGATTCATGCCCAATTTATCAGGGTTGCTATGAGAACAGACAGAGATGATGAAATTCAACTCCCTACAACTATTGTCTCACATGGATTTTAAATAAAAGAGCCTTGGTTTCTCGGAAGGTAATATCTTGGCTGGCAAACCGTTCCAGCTTGTTTTTTTATGTGAATGAACAGATGTCTCAGGGAATTGGGCTAAGCTCTGCCAAATTTCTCCTGAGACAGGGGAAGACTGTGAAACTGAGGAGTATTTTGTCAAAAGTCATTGTCCTTGGAGAATTCAGAGTGGCTTGCTGTAGGACAGGTATTGCATTTCATTACGTATTTGTTTTTGTAGCAATATGGCATCTGAGATGGAAAACTTAGAATTTTGCCAGTGTTAACATTTACTTTGCTAAAAAACACACACACATTCTCAAAACTTCCACTCGAGAATTTCCTTTGTGTCTAGAGAGCACTGACATATAAGCGTATGGGTTAGACATTACAAACTCAGGTTTGTAGCGTTCGGTTCTACCGAACCTAGCAGCCTTGATATAAGGTAGATCAGCTGCAAAAAAACACTGGCGTAGACACAGTAGACATATGTAAGACCTGATCAGGGGACCTCACGCAGATGCTTTTGCTCCCCTGGGCATTGTGCTGTCTTGTCAGTTCCTTCCTATTAATTTTAGAGCCCTTTGATCAGTTCAAAATGAATTTAATGAAACAGTGAAGTCCTCAGTGCTATTTAGTTCTACATTTCTAGAAAATCTGGACAGCACAGGGGAGACAGACTCCCTGACTGAACAAAATAGCGTGGTGTGGATTCATCGGTTCTTTGTATTATTTAGGTTGCTGGCTGGCCAGTCAGCACACAGAAAGCCTGAACCGCTTGTGTAGGGTTTGTACGAGGATACCGGAGGGAAGTGGACTAAGGAAAAGTGGGGGGCAACGCAGGGGAGTAGGAGGGCAGGGGGAATGGGCTGAGGGTGACCCTGGGGGGATGGGGGACTGAGACCCTATGGGGGCAATCACACGGTACGTGGACGAAATGGAAGGGGGAACCCAGAAGAGCCCTAATGTCAGCTTTTGTAGACTGAGGGGGATTTTGGTCACTGAGAAAGTGTTACACTTGAGGAAGGCTCATGGGCTGCATGCGAGGAATCCTTGATCCCTGAGTGAAGAAAGTTGTATGGACTAAAGCGAAAGAGGTCTCCCGGAGGAAAACCTCAGGCACTGGAGATAGCTAGGGCAACAGAACATGCTGGAGAGCCGAGTCCTGAAGAACAAGGGCACATGTGACATAACGAATAGGCGGCAATGGTGACGAGTTCCCACCCGGCGCGGCAGGAGCGTCTCCTCTGTGATGATCCCACTGTCCCAGGTGCCCTTGTATAACAGGTACGAGGCTCTGCAGGTGGGACCCAATGGTAGCGAGGACCATGGTTCATCTAGCACGGAGGTGTCGCCGAGGTTAAGTCAGTCTATGCTCTGCATCAAAACTGCTTCCATAAAGAAAAAAAGATGGGTCACTGTCACAGGAGACTCCCTTCTGAAGGGAACAGAAGGCCCAGTATGCAGACCGGACCCACTGCTTAGAGAAGTCTGCTGCCTCCCTGGGGCCCGGGTTAAAGATGTGAAGAGAAAGCTTCCTACCCTGGTGTGGTCCTCGGATTATTATCTATTATCGATTTTTCAAGTAGGCAACAATGAAGTTGCAACA